CCAAAGTAGGTTTACTTAGTAGAATTTAGAGAATAGAGTGATTATTTTTAGAAAAAATTTGGTACAAGTGATTGTCGGAAAGAGTTAGTGATTTGCATCTTAACAAGTACAATATTAAAGAAGTTAAATTAATAAAAAATTTAATTTATTTGGCGTAATTAGTGCGTCCATATAATATTAGAGAAAACTAAAGACTAATAAAACTTATTAGTCTAATAAATTTTTTATCGTAATTAATTTAACTTCATTGTTGGCAGTATACTAAGCTACCTTATAATTTTGGGCAAAATTAGGCACAAATTCAAGTAAAATTAAGTACAGTACGGGACAGCTTAAAACATCCACTTTTTTTAAAAAAGTGCCAAATTTGAGATTATGTAATCAAATATGATTGGCTAATTTTTGTGTAATAAATTCTGATTGGTTAAAAATATATATAAACATTTTTTTTATATATTAAATGCCAAAATTTTGATTATATATAAACTTTAAACTCTAAAAACTTTTTATTTTTATAATAAAAATTAAAATCTATTCTTACAGAATTATAGCTTAAACTAAAAACAACAAATTTGTAAGACAGATTTTTTTTAAAGTTATTTGTTTTTGAGTTATAAGCATTTTATATTTTATATATAAAAAGTGGATGCCCGTACTGTACAGTATTAGAAATTTAGCCTGTGATCATCATGGGATATGATTGACCAATGATAATCATTGTTTTTTTTCTGAATAACATTTAAAATATAGATGTAAACAATCTAATCTTACTTTAAACTTCTTTTCTTTTTTCTTATTTATTTTTTCCTTTCGTAGTTTTTTTTATAAACTTTTTTTTTATGTTCTGTAGAATTGAGCTGGGATGACCATTAGATTGACAAAAGTTTCGAGTTGACAAATATGAGTGTCTAGACGTGAAACTGGCTCACAGAAATTGACCGTAAGATATGCTCTGAGATTTGTTTTATTTTCGAACGGGTTAAGGGCAAAAGTGTAGCCAATTCGAAACCTTTGTCGGCCTTTGGAAAATTCTGGCTTGGTTCTCGGAATGAATTTTTATTTTATATTTTTTGCCAACAAAGATTTATGAAATTGTAGAAAGTATATATCTCTTTTCTTCTGTTATTTGAAATTACAATAAAAAACAATGACTTATTTTTTAATTTTTTTTATTTTTATTTTTATTTTTTATAAAAATTTTGAATATTTTGATGTTTAAACGAGTTTTTTTTTTTCTTTTTTTATTGTTTGTTTTTTTTTCAATGGAAACGTAGTCGTCGTTCGTAGAGGAGAATGTATTATTTT